ACTTGGCCTTGCTCTTGTAGTCACGGATCTTGTCCAGGAACAGTTTCTGGACGGGGTCGAGCTCCTTGGCCCGCTGGAAGAGGACAGCAGAGATGCCGATGTTCCTGCGCAGGGTCAGGCTCACGGCAGAGCGCAGCACGGAGGACAGCTGGAATAACCGGTGCAGAGCCATCTGAAGGAGCCAAAGCGTCGAGTTTGGGTGACATTTAAACTGATTTTGGACGAAATGTGCTGGTACAAAGTACTCTGAGGGCTTGAAATTACACCCCTCAATAAGTGATAAACGCATTTTTCTTTCTGCGTGTTAAATCCTTAATTCCGCTTTCACATGGACATGTTTGCTATCTTTTACTAATTCCCTATCAATCAGTACCACTAGCTGCCTTTAGCATTAGCTAGTTCACGTCAAAGGCAGAGCATAGCTAACTAGCACACTCAGTTTGCTACTAACCCAAACACCCAGTCTATAGAAACAGAGTTACTATAACTACAAGATGTTAGATCGGCTTTACTGAGTTGCTGCTTGCTGGTCAACACTTGACGTTTCCTTCATTCAAATGACAAAACAGCGGCTTATGCTAACATGCTAAGCTAGCTTTAGCTGACACTAGGGAGCGTTCGGACATTTTTATACGGTTTGATGTACCGCGGTGTGTTACACCACCGCTCTCACCAAACGCACCACCGTGCACGTATCTGTGTACGCAGAGCGTCGTGACAGAAGAGGTGAAGTTAAATGTTTGATAGCTTTTCTTTTTAAGACACCGTACTCACCTTGGATTTGACACCCAGAGCAACAGAGCCAAATGTGAAGGACCGCGGTGAATTGTGGGAGTTCGTTGTTGACAGGAGGCGTTCGCGAACGTCAAGCATTAACTCTATATGCGCAGGACTGCGCACGCTCAGTTTGATCTCAAATTACAGTCGAAAGAGGTCAACGAAGTTTGACTTAAAATGACTAACAGAAGCATTTTTTCTAGCTAAATTAAAGTGACCTGGTTGTAAATGACTCTTTCTATTGAAAATCTCTATTATGGCTTTCTAATTGGCCGTGGAAAGATGTTCATTTTATCACATTAATGCATTTCTCTTGTTAGTTTACTTCTCGCCGAATTCCACCTTCACTGTAACTTAGCTATTGTGTTTATGGAGGAAAAGTCTTGAGCCACCCCTATCTGTCTTCAAATCTTGCTGTAAAAACTGGAAATAGTTATAATCAGTTTTATTCTTCATCACAGTCTGAGCTCTCTCTGGCATCTTTCTTCTCATGTCTTTAAGTAGGCTTCAGGGATAGTTCTCCAGGCTTCATGGAGGACATTCAAAGCTTTTTTTGGATATTCCTGCACTTTGTTCCGTTCGTGGTCAAGATGATCCCACACTTCTTCAATAATGTTGAGCTCTGACCATGACTGATAGTGTTCATTGTGCGTCTTGTCTTTTTAGGTCTGTTTTTATTGCATTGGCATTGTGTTTGGGATCACTGTCATGCATGTCATGTAAAATGAAGCCCCTGTCAGTCATACACTTTTCACATGGTAACATAATGGATGAAAATCTGTTCTGTCAGTATTGACAAGCTCTCCAATGCACTAGTTGAATTCAGCACCAAACCATGACAAAGCCTCCATGGTGGTTGGACACACTGACCTCCACTGTACACACGGACAACAATTTGAACAAAAAATACACATTTTGGATTAGTCACCCCATCAGACTTGTTGCCACTGTCCAGTTCTTTACTAATTTAGCATACCTAAGCATTTTCTTAAGAATAGCTTCCTGGCAGCCACCATCCCAGTGAAAAAAATTCTAATAAAGCTTCAGTGAACATTAGGTGGACCAAATGAAGGGCCAAATGCATCTCTCAGATATTTATTCCAATTTTGGATATGGCTCACCTGCTGTAGATAATTTATTGAGGCCTACTGCTTCTTCTTTTGTCTTCCACTTGTCCAGATTCCTCAGATTTTTTTAAGGATACATTGCACACCATGCTGACATAGTCAACATTTCTGGTTAATTGCTCTTTGGGAATCACATTGTTGGTCAAAAAATATAATTTTATGCCTGTTAGGCTGTTATCATGGATTTAACCAAAGAAATGGGAACAGGTGATTTGCTTTTGTAAGAGGCTGCTGGCAAAGTGTCTCAAGATCCAATTTAAAATAGTATTTTTGCAAAGTTGTCTTTTATGTGTCAACACAAAATTGGTTCATACCTTGAGTTAAATGCCTTCTTTATGCTTGAATGTTTCATAGAAGGTCATCAAAACAACAAAACAAAAGAAAGGTTGGCTCATTGGAAGCAAAACAAAGAAACGAGGGGTGGCTCAAGACTTTGTAGTCTAGTTGGCAAAAGTATTAAGGTAAAAAGGGTGTGGGTAAACAGTCAAAATTGTTAGCCATCTTGACGTGTTTAAGCTAACTGAAATTATGAACTAGAAGCGGAAAATGATAGTGTGGTTTTAATTTAAATGCTTTGCTCAAAGTACGCAGTAACATTTGAAATAGCTCAACAAAAGCATGAAAGTGAAAAGTGAGTGAAGAGTTGGATGTGTTCACTAAACAAAGCGGAAAAAAAATGGTGAAAGTGGTCAGTAAACAGTGAATTACTTTTAAATGGAGGAGTTAAAATTAGAACGTCTGCCTCCTTGGAAGCAAAATATAAAGAAATGATGGATGACTCAAGACTTTGGCCCAGTACGGTCTATCACTCACTGTGACATCTTGGCTTGTCCCATGGCCAACTTGGCAATTTTATTTTAAAAACTTGTTTTCCCTGACTTTTTAGTGTTTAGTTTTGACTCCGCTCATTTACAGAGTTACATTTGCCAGAAAGTCACAAAGTAGCCAAAATAAAACTCATAGATATGCAGTTTAATTGTTGCCTTCTCACAGTGAGGATCAGGTCCTGTTCAAACACTGCCTGTGTTCCAGTTAACCTTTAACAAGATGACCTGGGTTCAGCTGCGTCTGGAAGTTAAGACCCACGCCGGAGCAACACTCTGAATCCCTGTCAGCTCCACTCTGCTGTTTTCCGTCTGAGAATGACCTTTGGCCTCCTTACCCAAGATAAGAAAAAATGTCCTTGTAGTGGGGCCACTCTTTTGATATTTAAAAACAGACAAATGTGAATTATTAGAATTAAACTGGATGCTTATGCCTGTTTTTGAGCATTAATAGTAGAAACATCACAGAGACACAGCACTTATATGTACATTCAAAACTTTATTATGGAATACAGTGTAGAAAGCATTTTCCCAGTCAATGCAAATGGCCTGCACAATATTACACAGTGGAAAACAAAACCAATAAGATAACCCACAGGAAAAAAAAAAAAAAAAAAGTAAAAGAAAGATAATCCTGCTTCCTCTTCTACTCTACTGCCCTCTGTTGGGCTTCTAATGAGCACCCTCCGAAAAGCACACACACTCATCCCTCTGCAGCCCCCATATCTACATGTTCTACTCGCCATTTCCTCACGGATCTCAGCGAGGGGCCACAGTGCGTCTCCTTCCACACAGTGTTAACACGGTGACCACCCGTCAAGCATGAGCTGACCTGATAATGCTGAACAGGGGCTTCTTGCCTACCTCTGACCAACATTGGATCGCTGCTTTGCCCCCCCACCCCAAGCCCCCGGATTTGCCGTCAGCTCTTGATGGTAAATCCCATCATCATCATCATCATCATCATCAACGCTGCCTTTCAGGAGTCAAGTGTGAGATGATGGCAGAGAGGTGAGCAGCATGCCTGAAGGAAAGGGAAGTCGAAAGAGGAGGGAGGTGCTGGGGTGGGGGGGGGGTGAAAATCCATTATATATATACACACACAGACTGCCTGCCTGCCTGGCTATCCAACCGGAACTGCAAGTCATTTCCTCTCTACCTCCACCACCTCCTCTTCTCAGAACTCCACCTGTTCTATCCGCAGAAGAAAAAACAAAACCAAACAAAAGAGACTGCGTCGGCTTACAACTGGATGAACCACCAGACTAAAAACGAAAACACGTACACGCCGAGATGATCTTAACCTCCATAACAGACTCCTCACGTGTTTCCCCGCCTTCACCCCCACCCCCGGCCTTCCCCAAACAACATACACTCTAACTGACATACGATGCCCTTATTAAAAAAAACCTAGCATGAAATGATCAAGAAACCAAGAGGAGTGATTTCCGAAGCCTTTAACACAATATACTTCAGTGAACGAGAATAATATACAGAGATGAAGCCGGCTCCCTCTCCTGCAGCTTCTGGAAAGTAGCAGGATTAAAAAATATATATATGTATGAGGATCACACTTAAACGGCAAAAGAAGGAGGAAAAAAAAACAAAAAAACAAAAACATCTTTTAAATGTGTTTTTTTTCTTTACATGATATCAAAGCAGAGCCCGTTCATCTAGATTTATATATATTTTTCATCATTGTTTTTAAAGTCACGTGATCACGAGAACATACTAAATGTACAATCTTGCTAGAATGACAATCTATAAGTGAGAAATGATCTCGAGAGAGAGCAGCTGTAAGATCTCCATGTGGTGGTGTTTTGTTTTTTCCCCCCTTTTTATTTTCTTGAAACTTCCAAATCCTGTTGTCATTGTTGTCATGCACTACATAGGAACAGCTAAGACTTCAGCATTACTTCTGTAACATTACACGTAATTTAAAAAAAGGACTTTACATCTTTTTTTTTTTTCCTCCGTTTTCGGTCTTTTTTGAAAAACAAAACTGGAAAACGATAAAGAGAGAAAAAAAGCAACTTTAAAATAAAAACAGCTCATTCAGAATACATGATTACTACTGTCGTCATAATCATCAACATATTCACCATCATCATCAGAATCAGCATCTTCAGATATCCTTAAGAGCCTTGTGTGACTTAACACAGCCCAGCTGTTGTATGAATGCACAAAACAAAAAAAACAAAAAAATTAAGGGAGAGGATGAAGGGAGGGAGGAAGGGAAGGATCCAAGGAGTAGGGAGGGAGAGGAGGCTCATTTATACTCCAGTGTAGACTGTAGAGAGTGTGCAGTAGTGGTGCAGTAGGCGAGGAAAACACTGGGCCTCGTAAAAATCATGGTGCTGCTATATTTCCAAAATCATATCATCATTACGAATACGCAAAAACAAAAACGATTCAGAGGAAACTGCTCGATTCTGATGATTCTGCATGCAACAATTTTTTAAATTATTTTAATAACAAAGGCCGAGGCCAGCATGCGTCTAAACACCCTACTGATCAGCGGTCGGATCTGCTTACAAAGTCCACACCTAAAAGCGACCCGAGCCTAAAAATAAACATAATAAACCCAACTACACACTGGCCCTGAATCAGTGTTGAGAGAGAGCGAACGTGTGCTCGTCTTCCCCAAGAGAACGGGTTTGTTTCCATGCACCGGGCAGGGGCTTTGCTTGTTTTAAGGTTTTTCTTTCCCCTCCATACATCAGCAGGCCCTGACGGAGCAACGTATAAAAACTCCTTCCTTTAATTAAAAAGGCGTCTTGCTCCAGTAAAGTGAACAAACTTGGTGCAGAGTGGCTTGGCCGCAGTGTAAGAAAAAAAAGAGAGAGAGAAGAGAAAGAAAAAAAAAAACAACCCCATGCTACAGTCGCTCCTTGTGCTCGTAACTGACTATTTCAGTCACTTAAAGATCCGTCTTTTGGTTGAAGGGAGGGCTGGGGAAGGGAAGAGGAGGGAAGGTAAGGGGAGGGGAGGTGACGATGTGTGGGATGAGAATGGTTTGTGTGCATTTGTTGTTGTTTTTTGTGTGTGTTTACGTATGTGTACATGTGATATCCTCCTCAGTTCTGCATCTGCTCGAAGAACTTGTAGGTTGGGTTCTCGTAACCGTTCTGCTGCATCTTTGACAGGTGGCGCTCCTCGGGGGTGACGGCAGCATCCACCTGGAGGAGAGCCAAGACAGAAGGGGAGGGAGGTTACAAGCAGAATAGGTCCTGTGGCGTAATGTAAACACAATTTACATTTTAAGACCTTTTTACTGCTTCTGGGAAAACATTAAGAGTAACCAGGCTGCGCTGGCTAGCGTATTTTTTTTAATTAAACATCTAATGAAAGTTCTGAAATGATAAACACAGATAATTAAAAAAAGAAAAGCAGGAAATTAATCGGTAACAGGCTTTAATCCAATTATATTTACCAAGCAGATATAATTAAAACTAATTTTTTTGCACAGCTTAGCATTCGTGCAGCACATTTTAAAGCCTTTATCAGCGACACAAAAATCTGGATACTTTGTTTCTACGTGGTGCTGCACAAATGGCTTAAAAGCGCCAGTGCATGCACAGCATCCTCCTCACACGCCACACCGACGAACGCGCGGGTCAGCTGTTTCTCACCTCGATGACTCCGTGGTGGATGGAGGTGTACTGTTTCTTTCTCAGCATCACCAGGGTGATGACGATCACGGTTGCTATGACGACGCCTCCGACCATCAGGCCGATGATGGCGCCCTTGTTGGAGCCCACATCCTCTGCGAAGAAGACCTGTGGGTGCCGAGCGGTCAGGTGATCAGTCAGTGGCACAACACACAACAGATTGTGTGAATTTAAGCGATATTCTCGAGGTCAGCACTCGCTTCGTTTCCTCACATCTTTTGCTGTGCTTGCTGGGTTTAATTACATCTCCTACCTCTTCTTGTCATTTTTGTCATTACGGAGTCAAATTTAGCTTGAGAATAGCTGCTCGGGAACAAAGACAATACACACACGCACACACAAAAAAAGTGAAGACGACTTGATGTGGGCAGCTTTTTTTGGATGGAAATATTTTCTTACTGCGGATGTCGAGTGATTTACAGAAAGAATAGCACAGCATAAAAAAAAGCATCAATGCAATGACGCAGCACCAACAGAACACACTTAAAAACACACACACACACACACACACACACACACGAAAACTAACTTCTGTCAGAGTGTGACAAAGTGGCTAGGACAGAATTAATTTGCCATTTGTCACTTGCATATATTGTTATTTTGTGTTCTGTTATTTTTACAGTCAGCCATAATGCTTTAATTTAGACATTGCTGGTGTAACTTCTCTTAACACACACTATCCCGGGTTTTGTTTGTGGTAGCAGTAGTTACATCCTTTACATCCATGCATGTGTTTTAAAGCAAACACTACTAACCATCAGATCATCTGAATTTTCTTCTGTTTACAGGCACATGTCTGGTAAATTATGTTTCTTTGGTTATACTTACCATGGTGTCCATGTTGTGCATTCAGGTCCTATATGTGAGACAGGTGTATGGGAAGGGCCGCCCACTACTTCCTGTTTATATAGGGTCAGGAGGTCAATGATTGCATCACTGGGTGTAACCAAATGGAGGGTTTTTCATTTTGTATAGTACTGTTTGTTTTCTTTAAAGTAGCCTTTTGAGTTATATTGTATGCAGTGTTTTACTTTAAAAACCATTTAGTTGAGTAAATGAGTTTGTCAGTTTCATGCATGACTTTATTCCTGTTCTTTGTTTAGAATTGTATTATTTGGTTTGACCTATTTTGTTTCAATGGTAGGGACTAACGAGGTCAGGTGTGGGCAAAGTCTTGCCAGTGGGATTTTTGTATGCCTGATTGATTGTTTTATGGTAAAAAGGGAGATGCTAGCAATAAAGTATGCTTAAAAAGAACTTCAATTGTCTGCTAATGCTATTTACTTATCACCTTCCTTGCTGCTTAAGTTATGCTACATCACACAGAATTTGCAGATTTATGGATACATGCAATTCTTTGAATGGTCACTTGAGGCTGATTCCAAGAGTAAGTATATCACTGTAAACTACTGTGTTAAAATGATTGGTAGCGACAGAGCCAATCTATTATAGGACCAATGCTGATGCCTGGTGATTAAAAAAATCGGATATACTGGTCGATATTTCTTTGCTTTAAGCCACAAAAAACATGTGTTGTGTGTAGTTATTTATGGTTCCTTACTGAGATAGCACGTCAGTCCATTTTAAATGTAATCTTATTCTACTGTCACAGCTGGTCATGGATTACTCATATGTAGTCTCCTTAGATTAGCTGGTTGTTGTCGTTTTTGGCATTTCAAACGCATCATCACAGCGATCAAGAAATTTACAGAGTGCCCTACAGGGACAACTGGATTTTCCGTAACGCCAAGTCAGTCACCCATTATTAGAGGTGTGTCCACTTTGACAAGTAGCTGTAGCATAACTGCTTGCGAGTCACTGAACTGAACCTTCTGACCACATTTGTGGTGTTGGTGCCTTTTGGATTTATCACATAAATAATTTCTGTACAGTCACCTGAACTAACAGTCCCCTCATAGTTCTCCAGCACAAACTGCCATATATCTGTGCCTGTGTGATGGACCTGTGCAGTTTAAGGATGCAGATTTCTAACCAAACCTCTTATTAAAAACAGCGGGTAATTTTGCACCCTGGTCGCTCCAAAACAGGAATTCCCATCGTGTTACTTGTGCCGTCTTTTATAAGTCGTCTTTGGTTTAAGGTCATTAACTTCCAATTTGAGATTTTTAACACTCACATTACTTTGGATGTTTATAAGCAAAGCAAGCAAATGGATAGAAAAGTAATAATGGGTTGAAAGCAGAGCACAGCACTGATGCACAATGACTCAGCTCCAACACAAAACTATTAAAAAAATAAATAACCAAACAAAATGAGAGCTTCAGCACATCTGTCACAGAATAACGGGTGCTCGGTGGGACTCATTTTTCACATTTTACAATGATAAATAGAACCTTCACTGAATGGGAAAGAAAAAAAGAAAATAAAAAACACCTCCTGATATCTTCAGCAGGGATAACGGGACAGAAACCTCCTCAACCGGCACAAAATTTTGCTACTGTGAATATCAAATTAAGGAGACGAGTTAAAGAGGCAGCCTGACACACTGACTGCTCACTGTGAATGCCAAAAATGTGATATGTAATAAAATGTAGGGATTAAGGGATTTGAAGCCTTTAGGTGAGAGGAATAAGGTACGTGGATTTGGATTTGACTGAGGATGGATTGAGGGGTTTTTTTTTTGTTCTGGGATTACAACACTGGATGAGATTAGTGAGTGCGTGCAGAACTTAGCGATATTAACAGCATCAAACTTCCCCGATCAGAGGGCACAGGATTCATTTATTTATTTTTCAGAGAGGAGCACATCGAGTGTGACGCACGCATTATCACGGATGTCTCCATGGGCACCTGTCTCCATGGTGACAACCTTGGGAAGTTTACCAGGAGGACAAAGTGGAGCATGTGTGTATGTGCGTGGAGGAGAAGGGGGCAGAGTGCAAAACCCGCATGTGTGAGTAATATGCATCTTTATGTGTGAGTAATATGCATCTTTATGTGTGTGAGTAATATGCATCTTTATGTGTGTGCGCATGCCTGCGTCTATTTCTGTGGGCTTATTAAGCAGCCTGAATATTCAGATCAGCGAATCCCAAACGAGTCTGCATATCTGCACGGCTCCGCCTTTGCTCACCAGTTTCTGGTGGCGAACTTCGTACTCTGTGCTCTGTCTGTCCTCAGTCTCCATCCGCATCTCAGGAATAGCTTCCATCTTCATTCCAGTCACTGGCGAGGGAAGAAAAAGTACAATCTATTATAGATGGTGACATTAAGCCACTCTCTCGTTCTCCTGCTGAAATAAAAAGCTCTGACTGAAGCACACTGGATAGCGGAGAGCCGACTGCACCAGCAGCACGAATAGAAAAGAGCACAGCATACGCAGGATGCATAGACCGCGTGCAGCTGCACCACCAATCTCTTAACAGCCACACCTGCACCTCAATGGAGGTCAAGTGGAGCCGGCTGTGTGCAAATATTGACTCTGAGGAGAACATGCTGTGGTGCCTTTACTTCTACAGTGTACTTCAAAACAATCTCAGAATCTTGTATAACCTGAGCAAATATTTTCTGCTAGCCTCAAAACCACTTCAGCTCAGCACTCGCATGCACCAAATCACAAGACCTAAAGCACTTTATGATTTATACCCAAGCTGGAAATGGCTTACAGGCCCGAGGGAATCATTATGTACTGAATAACATTAATATCAAACTACAGATGCTCACATCCCTTTCTAACACACACTGTAAATTAGTCACACCTAAAAATATTCACTAATGTTATCAAACGTTACCATTTTAGTTACAACACATCATTTAGAGCCGGGGCGTCAGCAGCTGTCTGCTGTGCAGCTAAATTCCTTCACACTGACAGAAAGAGGAATTTTGCTGCTCACTGAAGATCAAAGTGGGCTGCATGTGGTTCACGATGTAAAATGAGTTTGGCATCGCTGATTCAGAAAGTTAAAAAAGCATCAAAGTAGTTGAAATGATGAGCTACAAAGAGCTTGCATGAGTTATTATAAATTGGTAACATTACTAGTCCTCCATGGTCTTTAAAGACCATACTGCACATTTGTAATTGAATCAGCTGTTTACACCTTATGCTACCTTTACACTAGAAGGGACAGAGGATAGCTGGATTTTTCCTAACACACTGTTGACACGTTGCTGTCGGCTTCCACCTAAAATGACTCTTGATCTGTCATCTGAACACATCACTACTGGTCATTGTTAAACAAAAGCACCAACCTGGTCGTGTTGGAATGCCTCCGTCGAGATTGGGGCGGGAGTCTACTGGCTCAACTAAAAGGGGAAGGCACAGAGAGATTTCACTTTTCAGTCGTTGTCCAACCTAAAAAAAGGAGCTAGAATATCATTGTGATGCATTTTGGAGGCTAATTTGTTAGCTACTAGAGCTACCACTCATTATGACAATGCGGTGCTTCAGAAAGTACCCTGGTTGTCGGTATTGGGCTGGTTGAAGCTCTCAGGGTGAATGAAGCCGACTCCAGCCAGTCCCAGAGTGTCTTCCTGCGGCAACAGGTCGGTCTGGCCATCTCCCAGCTCCTGGTCGGGCATCAGGGCGTCATTTCCATAGCTCACCCTTACGTCTGTCTGCAGGTTAGCCAGCTGCTGAGCCATCTCTGCCTGCTCCCTCTGCAGGAGCTCTGTGTGAACACAACCAGGAGGGAGGCAGGAAGACAGGAAGGAAGGAAGGAAGGATAGAGGTCAGGAGTCAAGAGGGGAGAGAAACAGGAGGTGGAAATAAGAAAGGAAGCAGTATCATTTATTCACTTGTCATGTGACTCTATTGTTGTTTCAACACAATATGGTGAGAATATTTCCGATGCCAGTTAGAATTAAAGAGGAGACTAATTTGTTTGCTAAACGATTCTTTAAATATGAAATCTCACACTGTCTACCTACGCAAATGTTTCTGTGTCAGAAGGGAGAGACCGCCTCAGAAGGAGAAATCTTCCTTTAACAGACCTGATGTTTAGCAAAGGCTGAGTGAGGGGTTTCTCTTCTGTGTGTTTGTTCCCGGTTTTTTTTTTCCGGGCGGTACAGACTGTGACAGACTGCGGCTCCAAGATAGAGACACAGATGGCCACATGACGCACACAACTCCAATAAACCCAAAAACCCACAGAAACCTAGCAAATGGAGAGGAGGGGGAGGGGAGGGAGGGGGATTTATCTTCCCAGCGAACAGTTTCATTTGACTCCTAACAGAAGAATTAGGCCAAATGGCTCCAATGCCCTCATCAGAGAGAGGGGAAAAATAAAAAAATAAAAGCGTTTTGCAGGCTGGAATTTAGAGCATTCAATCTCTATTACATGTAATCAGACCAGTGCGTCTTCCCCTGCCTTTCTCCCACCCACGGGTCATCTCCACTGAGTCTCGGTTAAATGTACGTCAGCGTCACTCCCTGTAGTTCCATCACATTTGCCTGGTCTGCATTGTGTTTCCTTGTGCTGATTTTAAATGGCTGATAGTGGAAGTTCAGTGAGTCTTCAGTGGAGGAACTCACCGACTTGGTCCTGGATATCATCAGCCACACCGGGCACTTTGTAGAGGAGTCCGAGAGATTGGTTCATGCGCTCCTCAATAACGCGCAGGTGGGTCAGCACCTTTTAAACATATCAAATAGGATGTTTTTTTATGTTTCCCAGAGAAAAAAACAAAAACAAAAAACATTCAACTGAAAGAGCAGGAAGCACAAAATCAACACTTTACACTAAAAACAATAAAGAAGTCCAATCATTTTTCAGCGTGTTTGATGCTACCTGAGGTCTAATCTGGGCGGCCTTCTTGGGATCCACCATGCGGACGTGCTCGAAGTGTTTGAGGGTGTGTTGCCTGTCCTTCTGCTCAGCGCGCACGTACTTCTTCAGCAGGCTGAAAACATGCCGGGGCTGCAAGAGACAGCGGAAACAAGACAGCTGGTTAAGAGCAGAGGAAGCAGAAGGAAATCAGTCACTTCAAGCCTAGCCTTTTAAAAATTTCATTTTGATTCTGTTTTTAGAAATCTAATTTTGAAAGCCTCCATAAAAACTGGCAATGTGCAGTTGCACTGTAACAAAACACAGAGGTCTAGCAAAACAGAAAACATGCGGGGGGATTTATTTATGCAGCAGGTCAGATAAAAGGGAGCCGTACTTCAAAAGAAAACAGAACGAGAGATGAAGAGCCGGGAGTGTTAAAAAGCAACCTGGAGATGGTTCATTTTTCCACAAGACACACAGTTTATTACAAAGTGGCTTTAATACGAGCAGGAGAGCACTGCTGAGCTGTGCGTGCCGCTTACCCGGGGTGGATCCTGCTGCAATGCAGTCAGGTAGCTCTCCAGAGCCAGGCGGCGGCGGTCGTTCAGCAGAGCCTCCACCCGGGCCATGTGAGTCTCCACCAGCTGCTGGCGCTCGCTGGCTGCCTCTTGCTCCAGTGCTTCTACCTTCTCTTGGAAACGCTATAAACACACAAAGGAAATTACCAAGTGTGCATCAGAGGAGGAGGAGGAGGGGGGGCGATGACACAGCACACAGGCAGAACATGCTCGCCTTACCTGAATCACGGCCTTCTTTTCAGCACGTGGAAGAGTCTTGGCTTCCCGCTCGGCCTCTTCCCACTCCTTCATCACCTGAAGGCAAACAAAGGAGGGAAAGATGAAATAAATCTTTTTATCCTTCACATGCAAGTGAGGTTTTACTTCTCACAGGTGTCAAAGAAAAAAAAAAAAAAGTGTGATATCGGTGCTCAGAATATCAGCAGGAAGGAGTTTCCTCTGATAAAAATCACAGGGTGTGGATGCTTGCTTAAAGACCGGTGTGGTGAGCATGAAAAACAGTTGGTTTCCCCCTTTTTTGGTCAGTTACATCCCCTCCAGAACGATTATTGCAAATCCTACATCTGTTTTGCCCTCTCTGACTTATTTGGGGGATTATCCAATCCTATTCAGCCCTTTACCAACCAAAGTGTGAGCATATATGAAACGATGCCTCTCTCGTCTGGAACTCTGGAAGCTGTCGCATCGCGGCGGGCCATCTGGCTCTCCGCCGGTTGATTAAAGAAAACAATTAAAGTTGAAATGGCTCAGTCGGCTCACTCAGGAGGGATTAACAAACACACCTACTTGTTTTACTTGACATACCTTCTCTTGCCATTTTCTATTCAGTGAAATCTTTGTCCTGATACTCTGTTTTCCCTGCACATCACATTTATTAAAATGAATGTCTAATGAGGAAAATAAATAAATTCCAGTCTCAGAGTACCTGGGACATTCTCTCACGGTGCTTGGCCTCCAGACTCTCTTTGGCCTTCTGGAAGTGTGCATGTTCATTCTCGTCAGCGGGCGTCTCCAGGTAGTGGTCCACTGCATCGGAGGAGCTGGGCGTTGCTGTGGGAACTGCGTGGAATTTGAGATGAAGGAAAAAAAGACTTTAAGCGACGCTTCTCACTGCTGCTGCACACTTTCATTTGGCAGAGCTGTCTCAGCACACACAAACACTCAAGTTCAGAAAGGGTTAATAGGGTTAGTGAGAGCTCAAGAGAGAAAGAATATAAGATAGCAGCTGTAGCTGGAAGCAGCCCCCTTCGAAAGGGAAAGAGCGAGCCCCTCAGATGACCCGCAGTGCTTTCTAGAAGAGAAACAAAACCCCTCTCATTTATATAACTTCATTCAGAGCGTGATGGAGCTCTCCTGCCAAACCACAGATGCTGGAATTTATCCTGTGGGCTCAGAGGCGCGCACTAAATTGTGATAGTCTTACCAACAAGAAAATAAATTGGATCAGTTATTGCGTGAAACCTGGATTTAATCAGTGGAAAGTTGATTATCTCTCACAAACACGCCATCGAGAGCGGTTGTTGGTTTGGGTGAGAATCTGAGTGCACGAGACAGTGTGATCGCGTGAAGGTCGCGCATCATGTGAAATTGGTTACGTCTGAGGCGAGCACATGACTGCGCAAGACACACACACACACGCGAGAAAAGACAACAGGGAGATGTTATTCAGTCTGACCCTGAGCAGAGCGTTTTCTTAGCCTCTGGTCTCGCAAATCCTTTAAAGGCCTCGTTCACCCAAATTACAAAAAGCACTTTTCTCTCCTGCCTTTAAAACAGACTAGAATCAAGTCCATTCAGCGAGAGTATAGCCAAGGTTATTTTTTATTACAGCTACAGATCTCCACTAAATGCATCACATACAAGCAAACGTGCCGCTCCGAACAGACGACAGCTCGGGAGTGAAGTCATTTGTCACATACCCTTGTACTTATCCGGCTGTATTTGTAAGAGCTTTGGAGCATCATAGTGATGTAATTTTGTGAAGGTTTGCACTTTTTGACCAGATTTTAGCTTTTCTAAGACCTGTTTTAAGAATTAAATCTTGGTTTTAAGGCTGAATTTTGAATTAGAGTAGAGGTGAGGGTTTGTTATGATGGCCAAATGTCAGGATTAGAGGCTTGGAGACGTCCCTGTAAAGCAGTTCCTCACTGATTCAGTTCAAATCATCATTCTAATGTATTTGTGTGTGAATGCAGGATGAAATGTCCCTTTAATGTTCCTTGATGTTATTTAGGGTGGCGATCCAGTAATTCCCTCTTTAGATATAATCCACGTCTGCAGTGATTCTACAGCATTCTTTGTTTTTGCAGTAATCATAACAATGTGATCTTTTCCCTTTAATTAGTCTTCGTTTGCTGCACTTTATTGGTGTGGCCTTTTCCTGCGCTGTAAAGGCTACAGCGGGGTATAAATTAATAATAATAATAATAATAATGTTAATAATGGCATCGATTTACTGCTCATTATAAACTCAACAGCTAAGTCCTGATTTCTATCCTTGTTTTCCTTGCTAACTGATCTCATAGCTGCACAAAAATATGAAGCGCTTTCCAAATAAAGCCTCTTACAATAGCTAGTTTCCATTACCTGGACAAGTAATAAATCAATGCACTGCACTAAAGGGCTGATAAGAAGAAGAAGAAGGAAAAAAAAAAAAAAAAAAAGGACGGGAAACTAACCAATTTCAATATGAGCCATTTCAAAAATACCCACTTCTCACTACACAATAGGCTCTTTTGTAGACAGGACTATAAGCATTGTTACCCAAGCATTGTAACAAAGGAGATGACTGAATAGAGCAAAGATGTCAGGAACATGCACGCTAGGATTTATATGTCTCGCTAAAAACTGATCTGTCAGTGCAGTAGCGTTGGTGTAATTGTTTTCCTGCAGTCCCCTGCAGAGAACTCACGATGTCAGCCTCACCGAGTCTGCATGTGAATGAATTCATTAAGAAAACATCCAAGTGGGGAGCCTGTGTATGTGTGTGACTTCAGGGCAAAGGTTACAGTGCATCATTTTCTTACCTAAACCATGCTCAGAGCAGAGCAGAAATCCTGAACTCACACACATGATCGATTATATTAGATCACAATACGGGGAGAAAGAGAGAATGCCGCAGGGCACACATGCACACAACCACCAACACACATATTGAGCAAGGTCATTGACCCTTACACAGTGAAAAAGCGAAATCAATGTCACGCTGTCACACACACAAACGCACACCTGTAAACAACAACAAGGGGGAAGTAATTTGGCAATCCAGGGCTGAGTTACCATTTGAAATCCAATCAGTTTGTGACTCAGCGATTGCGTCTAACCAAACACAGAGGCGCTGAAAAATACATAAATCAGAAAATAAATAATTTTCCTCCCCCAAGTTTCAAGTGTCCATTAAAAACCTCTGACGATTCAACGTATCATCAAGGTGGGAGCAAAATATAGAATAAATAATTGAGCAATCATCCCCATTTTCAGCGATACCACTGATAATCAATCATCACAATGTGGAGATGGGAGGCAGGTATGCTCTGTGAGCGTGTAATGTTGCATTGATGAGTTTTTCCCCTTGCCTCTATCTGGGGAATGTGTCACATTCTGCAAAATTGCACAAGGGTAATTTGACATCTGATTTCGGTGAATTGACTGAATTAACTTGAACTTTTTTCCTCAGCGATGAGGACGAAATAATGTAAGCAAGCCCACACCACATCAGGGACGCGAGGGCGTAACAAGCAACGGAGTGAGGATTATTGCAAAATTAATGTGTGCCTGGATGATTTTATGTATCGTATTCATGCTGCAGTGTCATATATAAGATGATGGCCATGAAATAGCTGTAATTATAGAAATTATACTGGTTATCCTACAGGCTTCATAGGGGGAGAGCAGTGCAGCTCTTGCAATATAAAGCATGCCATTTAGTTCATGGAGCAAACTGTCCATGAAAATAAGCCCTGTGTATCGTTTAACCAGTTACTGGAGCTTTTAGGCGTTGGCACCTCGCTCCAGCGCTGTCTGCTAAAATAAAAATAAAAAATAGGCATGTCCAGCTCTTAACAGCTTTCAAAACAAAACTACGTTCAACCTGTTCCAAAGTTAAATGTATTGGAAAATAGAAATGCTTTAAAGCACAGGTGCACCCACACAAAACGCTCGGCGTGACACGCCAGAAGGACCCAACCTGCTCACTGACATCGGTGGGTGTGAAAGTAAAGGCAAGAGTGAGTGTGCAGGCAGTCAGGCAGGTGTTTTTAATAGAAGTGCGGGAGAGGAGACATATTTATTTACCTGACGGAAACACACACACACACACACACACACACACACACACACACGGAGAGTGTGAGGAAACGGTTAGGCAGGAGAGGCACAGCGAGCAAGAAACTTCGGAAACTTGTTTTGCGGCTAGTAGACAGCTGGGATAGACCGGGTGAGTAAAAAAAAAAAGTGAGGAGTTGTGGACAAAACAACTGGCAATTGAGCCAGCGAGACGCTGCCTTAGGCTGGACTTACTGACGCTGCTGCAGACAGACAGGCAGTACGCCTCTGACTCAAAGTTATTCCTGTTGCCTCCACAGCCGCCGTAGATAAACTGAACACAGCGGCCTTCCTCGCGGTCAAAGTACCAGCGGGGCAGCATCGCCCGGCATGGACCTGTCTCTGCACTGGCCCAGCACACATCTTGGAGGACACACACACACACACACACACACACACACACACGTACACACACTTATCAACCACAAATTCCCAGAAAACCTCTGTAGTTAATCATGCTGGAGTGTCATCGTTGATTGATGTCTTTGCAAAGACAAAAAAAAAAAAGATTTAAATTTAAGGACACAAAAATAAATACAGCATCTGGAAAAAAAAAAGTTAAGTTTTACGCATTATTGATGCTGCCTGGGTTTGAATCTTTAGACCAATTTAACGCTAATGTAGAAACATTGCTGTACAACCAATTCTGACTCTAGTGAAACGTGGCTAATGAAAGCTGTGAGATGACAAATGAACACGCTGAGAAAAATGACAGCAGGAAATTAATTGGTGAAGAACACGAGGTTCAATCGCGTTCAGCAAAGCATAAAAATTTTTTGCAGGGTAATAAAAACAGAAAAAAATCAAAACATGTTTAGCTTGTTGTGCGATTGTTCCACATTAATCTAAATGCAAAATCTCCAAGTCACCTGACCGCTCTATTAAGCACGTTTCACATATTCCAGCCTTTTATTTACCAGACTAACAAAAACACTTGATGATCCTCACCCCTGACAACTTCCTCCACAGACTCTGTGGTGGTGGTGGTGGTTGTCGTCATGGCAACGTTGGTAGTCGGCTCACCGTCGATGAGCGAGTCGAGGATGTCGTCATCATTGTCATCGTCTTCCTCTTCGTCCTCGTCGTCCACCAGCTCCTCATCTTCCTCTCCATCTCCATCCTGGTCATTGTCCAGCACGTCCTCTTCTTCATCCTCTTCCTCTTCCTCCTCTTCCTCTGCCACCTCTTCCTCCTCGTCCTCATCCTCGTCTACCACAGATGGCTTTGTTTCCTCTTGCTGCTCCACTGGCTCTGGCTCACGCACCATACTGGGAGAAAAGGAGAGAAGAAAAAGGGGAAATGGTGAAGCAGGAGGGAGTCAAGAGACATATGGTGGAAAAGAAAAAGAGAAAAAAAAGTGGGATGGGGGAAAGGAGATAAAAAATGAAGGAGGAGGTAGATGAGAAGGATGAGGGAGGCAGAAGAACGGAGACTATGATATAACCATTTTGCAGCTTCCCTTCAAGAAGAGAAATTGTGCCCACGTGGCAAAGCTACAAATTAAATCGGCTTCGCCTCCGATCACCTAAACACTGACGCATCACTCTGCTCTTTGCTGCCTTGGCCTCATTTATTTGTGCGAGTGCGTACCTGTTGTCAGAGTAGTCGGTCTCCGCTCCGCCCCACCAGACATCAGAATCATCAGGATCCTGCTCAGCACTATCGGCGTCACGCTCCGCCTCAGCGGGGCAGCACACAAACTCCACTCCTCGGAAGCGGTCGATGCCGCACGGCAGCAGCATCCCATAGTCGTGGAGGTTCATGGTGCGGTCTCCGCAGGACTGAGACGAGACAAAGCGGATCAGTACATGCTCGTGTAAGTCATTAAAGGAGGGTGTGTTGTGTGTGCAAGTGTGTACACACCTCTTTGGCTACAGTGTGCCAGTGCAGGTGGCTCTCACACTGATCCATGCGCTCCTGGTGCAGGAACTTGCACTTATCAGGAACAAGCAGAGCATCGCTCACAAATTCTCCCACTGCGGCAAAAAACATACACACATTTAGATTTAACACATAATCGGAATCTTGTGTCCGACTGGCTGCAGACAAATTTCAACAAACACTGATTCATCTCATAAAAAGCTCTTTTGAGTAAAATCAGAGCTTCATATAAACCGAGAGATTTTTGGCCTCTATAAGACAAGAGAGGACCAACATCAAACAAGAAGTGGGGAACTCTTCTGCCCATTAAAACCATTAAACTAGGAGGTTCAAAGCTGGCCACTGCACCAGTCTTGTGAACAAAGACAGATCCTATTCACAATCTGACTGCTGCCATGACCAGCCAACAGGAAAGCAGAACTGACGTTACGTGGAAAAATATAAAAATCAAGATGATTTGTGGCAGCTGACTCCTGTCCTCATGTGTCTTGATCCCAATAATGTAGTCATCATTGCCATGCAATCTGCATGCATCAAACCATATATCCTACCCAAGGAAAACTGTGAGGATTACAGTGAATTTGGGTTTAGAAGTAACTAACCACACCTATGAGCGCTGCTTTGGGATTGTGCTCACACACCATGTTGCTTGTGTTAAGTAAATCTGGCAGATGGTGTGAAAACTGAGTGGACTCACCTAGGCAGCGGTAAGGCACCACGATGTGCATGTGACTGCGACACTGCTTGCGCCCCTTCTTGCACCAGTTCTGGATGCTGACTGGTTGATTGGCCTCCACCACGTTGGTAATCTGGAGTTCAGGGTAAACCTGTACACACAACATTAAGTCTTACAATGGGACACTATATCTACTGAGCAGGGACGTGTCACCTGCTTTCCTAACATTAGCTTGAATGACTTAATAGTCAGCTTGTCACACTTTTGGCCACAGTGAGCTCAAACTGATGATGCTGAGCTCATCTTTAGTCATGCCTTCTTAGCCACATAGTTACAGCCATTAAGTGTTTGCTAATCTATTTTAAAGATTATCAATCCTTCCCTTTTTAAATTGCCTTTAAAAAAGAAAGAAAGAAAAAAAAGAATCCACCACACCTTTCCTTTCAGAATACTTTTGCTTTCTCTCCATCCCCCCGAGATACAATCTTCACAGCTCTGCAGTACTCCTCGATGCTGTTCCTGCCTACCAGGACTGCTGTGTTTACCTCTATATTCTCAGCCATGCGTGACATCTGCCTCTACACAATATTCTGAGTTGGCATGTCATCCCTCTCCCTTCGTTCTTTTTCATGACACCTCCTCTTCTATTTTGTCTGCCTTCACGCCTCTCACAAAAGCGATGGGGGGGAAGAGAAAAAAAAAAAAAAAAAGTCTTTCCATAACCTTCTTGGTTCCTTGTCACTGTAGACAAGTCGTATTTTTTCCTCTGTTCAGCTTATAAGAGGAAGGTTCTCAATCTTTTCCCTTTTTTGTCTTTAATATCAGCAGTTCAAACTGCATAAAAAGCTGGGATTTGGCAAGCATTTGTTTCTTATCACAAGATTTGTTATCAGTGTAAACAATGGGAGGGTAAATTTATTTTCCTTTGCTGTAATTTTTTTTCCCCCCCCAGAGACTGCTCACCTCCTTTTATCAGGTGAATTGCTTTTATCGTAGATTATTTACACACTGATAAGTGAGACTGCTGTAATTATCCAGATGAAAAGCTCCTGTTTTGTGTTTGCAGAAAAGTCATAGTGAAATGTAACAGCCACAGCAACGGCAACGAAAAAGAGCTCACCGTCTCACGTTAAACTTTTGGTTAGTTCACTTTCAAGCTGCCTAATTACAAGCCAAGTCACATGGACTTAAGCAGCTTGTTTACTGAGCAGAGTTTTGGCATCATGTCATCCTGCCAAACTGGGGATTTTGGTGACTAAAAACAAATCTGCTTGCCGACTGTGTAGCCCACTCGTGACAGACTTCTCTGTTCACTATTCACTTCTCTATTACACTTCTACAGCATCAATCCAGTTAAACTTGTGGGATATTGATCAGGTCAGTTAAGTAGCAGAAGGGGTCTGTTCATCAGTTTCATCTTTGGTGTTAACGAAACTAACACCTAGACAAGGCAACAATGAGACAACCACTAAAACAGGAATGGTTTTACTGGTGCAGGCTGCTAACATGTTCTCCCTCCTCATCTTTTCTGACTGTTTGTTCACTAGTTTTGCATTTGGCTGGGGTCACTGTCACTACTGGTAGCATGAGGTGATATCTGGACCCTACAGAGGTTACACACAGTGCTCTCAGAGGGTCAATCTAATGGTTAAAATCTACTAAAAATCGCCCACGTCACCACATCCCAAGATCATCATCTACACTCATTCCCCACTCAAAACAAAATAACCACATAGCCGTTGACATTTTCCCCTCTATCACACTATCCTGACATTCACAGTGTGTATCCCCCTGTCTTTAGTATCCCCCTTTGGGCCTTTTTATTACAATTAAAACAATAAAGATTTATATCAGTTGATTAATAGGAAACCTCCGCCCCACAAAAACACACACTTTACCTCCTGGCAGTATTGCAGGATGCCCTCCTTGGTACCGATGCAGCTCTTTGTGCCCGAGGGGTCCGGCTCCCACTTGCCAGTCTGGACGTTGATGTGCATGTTGAGTTTACCACAAAACATGGCCACCTGGGGCTCTGCCAACAGGCCCATCGAAACATCTGTAGGCACCTGCGGGTGGGCGGGGCAGGGGTGAAGGGGGAAAACAGAGAGCGAGAGATTTAATGAGATATACAACTCACGTAAAGCTCCTTGAGCACTCGTGCTGAAAAATGCGAGACGGATGCAATTAAATTTTATTACTCAGATAGAGGAGGGTCGGGAGAGGAGAAAAGATTAGTGCGTTAGATGAAAAGTAAGATGAGACGAGCTGGTTTAAGATGAGAAGTGGGAAATGAGGGGAAGATGAGGAAAGCCAAAGATAAGATGTTCGTGAAGGGAGCGCTGGAGCAAGTTTTTTCTGTACCCCCGTCAGATTTCATCAAAAATGTAGGTTTATGGCCATAAAACCCTTAACAGTGCAATCAAACACTTATTGCTGCAGTATTGCTCACTGTTCAGAAAGATCCTGCTGAACAGAAACGATGAAAATAACAGATCTAAATAAGTGAAACAAAAGTGATGGACTTGGTGGTGGGAAAAATAAAAATCAATATCTTTACAAGAATAAATTACCTCAGACAACAGGCCTGGGGCAATCTAATACACCCTCTGCTGTCTATGATGCTCAGCCACATGCGCACATACACCCACTCAACTGCCCTGTGCTATACCCTATTCACGGGTATATCTCTGCTCATGTTTTTGCCTTTTTTTCCAGGACAGTATAGTGTTTATATAACCCTCTGTTGATTTGTTTTTGGCTCATTTCTCTGGGAACAAGCTGGCTGCAGGCGCGGGGAGTGTGTGTCCGTGCGTGTTCGTGTATGGAAGAGAGAAAGCCTGCCTTTGGCATGACTGTATTAATTTTTGTATTAATTTACGCTCCTGGGTGTTTGTCGATTCGTGCCTCTCCTCTGCGTGTGCCACTGCTGACTTGCCCGCATAAGGAGGTTTTGTGCTGGAGCTCCCCTAGGAGAGGAGGTGCAGACAAACCTCTGAATGTCTGCATTGTACTGGCAAATGAGCTAGAACAAAATGGGAGGGAATACAGGAGGGTGGGGAAGGAGACAGAGAGAGAGGAGAGAGGAGAGAGGGGGCTGTTGCCATTGTGTGCTCCCCTAATCTTGTTAATGGTTTTGAAGGGACTGGCAGGCAAACAAATGTTGTTTTGTGAGATGGATAGCATATTTTTTCCCCCCTCCAGACTTGATTCTCTCCAAGCAGCCGGGGCATAAAGTTCTCTTCCAATATGAGAATGGCTGGTGGGGGCCATCAATTTGGATTCAATTTAAAGCCGAAAACTCAAACCTTTGGATCAATTTAGCGAGTGAGTATCTGGTTTATCGGCACAGAGATGAACTATATCAGCTTTCATTATGTCCCATTTACACACATATTGTATTTACACACTTGGCAGGAGGAGAAGATGGCAGCACTCTCTGGACCCGTTACTTCATTTTCTATTCTCACCTGATGGCGCTCAGAAAAGCCAAGCAAAGCGGAAAAGAAAGCTTGCCAGGTACACAAACGCAATAAAAATCTACCTGTAAGCTGTAATGCAGCTGAAGACTACTGCTGTGAAGCTGGGAAATGAACATCTGAAACATATCGAGCTGAAATGTATTCAATTGGCTCTTTAAAAAAAGCAAAACAAAAACTTGTACCGTTAAAAGAAAACTGTTATATACATAGGTGCTAGCAGTAGTAAATCCATCTGTCAAATAGTATAAACAAGTGTTTTGCTTTACACTAATCAGATTCATATGAAGGCGATCACATATCTTGGTAGTTCTCAATTATAGACTTGAAACCATTAAAGGGCCATTCAAAGAGCGCATTCATTGCGAAAAACTAATTAGATTTTACCCCTATTTATCTGCAGCCCTTTTATTTCAGTAAATACAATTACTGTGAAAACAAAAAGCAGGATTAAGTAGAAATTTATAATCTTGATCAAAAATGATGAAGCATTTCTGCAAGATCACACTTACACATTGTAATTAATGATAAACAATCTTAAATTCTGAGCGTTTATAAGTTACTATTTGCTGCTCACAAACATGTGAGATGAGGCTAACCAATGTATTTTATCATTAGCATCCTGTTCTTGTCAACTGTTTTACACATAAAACATAGAAAAATACAAGGGCATGCAAAGAGAGCAACTCCACCCGAGGTGCAAGGGCTTTCCTAAAATTTAATGGTTTTCAAATAGGCGTCTATTGGACCGCAAGTCTTTTTGCAACCACAACTATCGCCATCTGGTGGCCTTCAGACAGAATGCAGCTTTAACGCACTTCTAGATTGGCTTAATCCATGTTTTATACTGTCTACAGTCCAAATATGGCGTCTTATGGCTGTCAAATGCACTGAAGCTTTAGCATTTTAGACCAATGGGCTAATGTCCAATGTCGCTTGTTTTGAGGCATTTAACTTAACAGTAACATCATTTTATCATCACAATGAAAAAGAAAACCAAATTAATAAAAACAGTGTAATAATGTGTTTGAAATGAAACCACAGCACACACGCACACACGCTCCCTCTCTTCAGGTTACACTGACATGGGTCAAATATGCACACCTTTAAAAGTTCACATCCCCCACTCATCAACATAAGTGGCAGCATGTAGTAGCGCCAAAGTCAGTAAATCCCCATCTCCACACACGGAGTAGGGTGTAAAGTCCCCCATTAGCCGCAGCCCTCCTCATCTCCCACAAATGACGCTTAACACTGGTGGCCATTGGTCTTGACACTAAGCCATCTGCACCACCCAGGGTTATTTAAGGGTCTGCTGCTCGATTCCCACACTGCCATCTGTGAGCCATCAGACACAGATCACAGTCCGCCCTGTTCACTAATAGTAAAATCCCAGGGCAAAGTAAGAATGGAAACTTTTCTTTAAAAAGTAGTTCATATACACTATCTTTTAATTAAAACTCTGGGTGCCCAATTCAATTCTGACCGTATCTCTCCACCCTCTGGCCTTACTCTACCGCGTACTAGAAAAGAGGAAAAAAAAAAAAAAAGCCTGACTTCCTCTCTGCTTTGGGGCATAGGTAGGGAAATTACTGCCGACTGCTTGCTGGCATTTAAATTCTGTGTGTAGAACTGTTTTGGTTGGCAAATCGTACCCCAGCTAATCATGCTCTCTTCCTTCTCATTTGCCGCTGCTATATCTCGACCGCTCCGTCTTCTGTTGATGGAGGAGGAGGGGAAGTGGGTTGTCGGCCAAGGCTTCGCAGCAAGCTTATAAATCAGAATCACTGGATGATCGAGAGAGAAGCAAGTGCGAGAAAGAACAATAACCACAATACCGAGAGACAGAGAGAAATGGGAGGGCAGATGAATTGGACAATAAGCCTTCAGGCTCGAGCAGGTCAGGCTCTTAGTAAAACTGAAAGGATGCGAGAATGAAGGGCCAGAGACAGATGATAAGATGTGAAGCTTTGGTGTCAGGAAAAGCTTAGAAGATGAAAAGAATTTTGTAGTCGATTACATCAGTTCTTTAGAAAGAACCACTGAATTTCTCATGCTGAATCTTCTAGTAGCTACATAAATAATGACTTGCACACATTTTCCAGTTTACAAATCCTCTCTAAATGAAAGATGGGCTGAATAAAAAAGGCCATTCTTTTTTATTTTGTTGTTGTCTTCTGGTTTCAGAGACAACCTTGTGAGCTAGAATCTACCCCGAGCAGGCAACAGATGGACTCAATAAAAGGCAGTCACAATAAAATGGTGACACACGTCAGCAACAAAGTGTTGCACATTATACGAGGAGACACCAGGCTTCCCTCATCTCCTTCATTCGCTCTGTCTTTATCCTATCACGTCTCTGGTTCACAGTCCTTCCAGTCTGCCAGCCGGTCAGACTGGCACAGAGGGGAGGGAGCAGTAATCTGGGCACTGAGGATTAGAACGCCAGCACGGCCAGGAGAAATATCCCCCTTTGGTCTCAATCTGGCATGATAGGCATCACGGCAAAAACAGGGAATAAGCTAGGGGAAAGGAGGGTGATGCTATATGAGATTGACCCTGTGAAGATAGTTCAATTAAAGTCAGCAGAAAATCCAGTCACATACTGCTTGGTATGCTATTTCTCCCTGAAAAGTGATGCAACTAAAGCAGTGATCCATCAAAAAAAAAAAAAGCAGCTTTCAGCTTCAGGCTGCTTTTATTAATCAGATTAACTGATGAAAGGAGCCTATTGTATGATCAAAATGAGAGCAAGAAATTCGAGAGCTCCAGTTTAAGAGGTCAAACAAATACCAGAAAAAAGAAGACGAAATCTTCTCATGTGCTTTTTCTCAGCAGAAAACTGCAAAATTACTGCAACTGAGTAGAGAAAATATAAAGCTGAGCTACCGGGCGCGGTTGCAGCAACATTAAGTTGTGTGTAGTCTTTTGTTCAGGTTGTTACAGCTCGTTATCAAGCCCTAAAAAGCACATCACCATGATAATCTAAGTATAAAAAGGACATTGTTAACCCTCCAGTAAAAAGAAATGCACAAAAAAAAAAAAAAAAAAAAAAAAAAAAAAAAAAAAACAAGCTAAAAAAAAAATCCAATAATGTAATGCAATAACATACAAGTTTATATTAGTTTTGCAATTAAAGTGAGATTATTTCCTGCTGCAATTTTCTAGAGTGGTGTGCTACCCCACAGAGGGTTCTGATGAGAGTGACAAGATCAGTGCGGCGCTTCACCTCAACCGGCCCACATTTCTGTCACGCTATGATGTAAAAATCACAGATGGATGCATTTCCATCACATCTGACAAATCTTAGACTCATGCAACGTGATCTTTTCTTCATCATCATCGTCGTCCTCATCGTGTGACTGTCAAATGTTCTGCTTTAAGGGATAATTGATTTGGTTGTGGTCTTTTTTTGGTTCACCCACTTTTGATTTAAAGATCAGTAGTTAGATTAGTGCTAAAACTAATTACTGATGAGCCATTTTATAAATCAACAGAAAACCTGCTACTTTTTAATTTTTAATTTTTTTGTTTTAACTGATTGAGCCTTTCCCCCCCCCCAACAGAAATAGACATTAAAGTTACAGGTT